TTAAATTTATATACCGCCCTATCTCCCTTACGGGACTCAGGGCGGTGAACAGGCGATACTAAAAACCACGATAAATATACACAAGTTTCTGTTCTAAAATCAAATTAAATAACAGGCCTGTTCTAAAAACACCCCATACAAAACCCCCACTAAAACATAATCAAACTACGCCAGGCCGGCCGCACGGAATAGATGGGCCCTCAGGGCTCGGTGAAAAAGGCGCAGGTCCGCAACTGTACGTAGGTCGGGGGTTAGGTCATTCCAGAGGGCAGGAGCTGCCACAGAGAAGGCTCTCCCCCTGGGGGTCGCCAGCCGGCATTGTCTGGCGACATTGTCTTAAGGAATGGCTTCTTCCATTAGTTTCTATTCAGTCAATCCTTTTAATCAAATAGCTTGCAGTTAAACTTGGGACTCTCATTGTGCAAAGTAAATGTTCTTTCTTAAACTATTATCCCATCAATGGCTATCTAAAATCAACATTCTGGTTTGATTCTTTTCCTGTAGATTCTCATTTTCCCAGGTGATATTTGAAAGTTTTTATTTTCTTTTTTTCAGAATCTAGAGGTACTCTTCTGTTCCTTCTAGAGGAGCCCTCGGGGCATCCCTCCCCACTTTACTTGGCATGATGATGTGCGAAGTGATGCCAACCATTAATGAGGACAACCGCCGTGGTTCGGCCTATGGGGCCGATGATGCCAATTTCGAGCAACTCATGGTCAACATGTTGAATGAACGAGAACGGCTACTGGAGACTTTGCGTGACACCCAGGAAAGTTTGGCTACCTCCCAACTCCGCCTGCGTGAATTGGGTCATGAGAAGGAGTCACTTCAGCGTCAGCTCAACATTGCCCTCCCACAGGTCAGGAATGGGGGATATGAGAAAAAAAGCTGGAAGGCTCAATTCTTGGGAGAATTGAGTGGGTCTCAAAATCTTTGCTGGCTGGAAAAACTGGCATCCAGTGGGTGGGCTGAATATACAGGTTTCTGAGGTTCTTTTATAACTTTGGCAAAATGTAATTTGGTGCTTGCATTAAGTAATTCATTCAATTATTAATTTGAAATATTTTATCCTGCTTTTTACTGGATAAGACTCCTAGAATGATCGATAGAAAATTTTGTATAATAATAATGTGCCATTAGTATAGATATAAAAACAATGACAATTATGTTTGCCTGTCCTTCCTGTCTTTCTCATTGGATAGTTGATCATAATGGCTTTCCAGATTGCTTGATGATAGAGGGGAGAGGAGAAATAGAACATTGGGGAATATTCTGGAACATTTCTTTCCTAGATCTCTGTATTTTGCCCATTCCTAGGAGAAAGCAATGATGACAGTTTACTACATTGGCTCAGAAGTCTTTGGAAAAAGATAGAATTCCCTAGACCACATACTCAGAAGCAACTCCATCCAATATATGGTTCAATATTTGGAAAAATCAGACTGATCAGAGGTGAAATTAGAGGCCAGAACTTTTCATTTGAGGCAGAGAAACAAATCAGTTGAAATGTAAATTCCAAGAATTATTTCTGACATTGGAATTCCTCGCACTTACAACTTATTTTGTCATTGATTTCAGTGCAGAAAAACAATGAAGAAAAACTATTTTTGGATATAAGATATGGTTAGATGAAGTGGAGCAATGTTCTATGCACATTCTCTCTCCACTACCTTGTAAAGATTTTGTGCTGGCTTTTTTCTCCAGTGGCTCTACTGATTTCTGTGAAGGGCAGAGAATGGTCTTGTTGAATAGCAAAAGAGGAAAGCAGTTGTGAGTATTCTTCTTCCTGACACATGAGGATCACCAGATCTGAGACATTTGTGTGATTTAGATTTGGAAAGCCACTGTAAGGATTTTTCCCCCCTTTTGTTAAGTTGTGTCCTATTCTCAGAAACTGACTGAACAAGTTCCTGTAGTTTTCTTGGCAAGGTTTTCCAGAACTGTTTTTCCATTGCTTCCTTCCTAGGCTGAGAGTGAGTGACTGGCCCAAGGTCTTATAGCAGATTTTGTGCCCAAGACAGGAGTCAAACTCATAGTCTCCCAGTTTCTAGCCTGATGCCTTAACCACTATACCAAACTGAGTAGCTAATGGCAATTTCCTGAGGAAAACAGATTGAAAAGAATACTGTAAGGGAAAAGTGCATTTTTGTTTATTTGGGGGCTCCAATTATATGTGGTAAGAAAGATAAAAATCAGTGCTTGAATTACAGTGATTTCCTTGCTTCTACCAGATGATATATTTCAAAACTACAAAAGTGCAAATCTGTTCTCCTTAGGTTCAATGTACTCTATATTCATATTGTACTTCTGTTTAGAGTAAATTTAAGAATATTCAATTTTTGAAACTATCCCTTTGAGTATCCTGTCTGATGCCACATATGGGCACATATTGGATTGTGCCAACAACTATGTAACAGGATTTTTCTTTTACAAGAATGCATGTATTGATACCTTCTTTTTCATATCTTCTTTTCCTGTTAAGGACCTGCAATGCAATTCCAAGCAACTAGACAGAACTCCAATATATAAAACAATTTTAGAAGGAAACAAAGGAAATGTAGCAGCCAGCAGTTTCAAAGCAGTAAAATTCAGAAAATGCTTCACAAAATAAGAATATTGTGATGTTATTCTTTGAAATTAGGATGTCACATACCTGAACATTGAAAGGAAAAGACAGATAACTGGACATGAGGTTAAGGGTGAGGGTCCGGGTGGGGGTAGGAGGAGGAGACACTAATGTTTTTCTTTAGAAACAAAAATTACTGTAAAACACTCCAAAAAAGTGTACTTACAGTACAGGTCTACATGTATAGGATATTACTTTTTCAAGCATCAAAAAGATTAGTTTTCCAGTCACAATTTTCCAACAAATCTTTATTTTCAAGATCACTCTATATTACTGACTCTATATTAATATAGAATCAACAATGATGCACTTTTCAAAGTTCACCATTATAGCAAGCCATGTAATCTACAGATTATAGTGATCATAGATTTGAAAGGGCTGGATTGAAGCCAATTGCTGGAATCAGGAAATAAATAATGTAAATCTAAGCTGTGAAGTCTATCAATGTATGATGGAAACAGACAATTTAGAGAGTCATAGTACAAAAAATTTGAATGACTGCTATGGAAACAGCATCCCTTTCGGGAAAAAACTACCCTAAAAAACTACCCACAAAGAAACTCAGAAAGCTGGACAATTGATTTTAAAGCTGTGGCTTTGGGACAAAGGACCTAAGGACAAAAAGTAGGATATGTCCTCCTTTTGCTGAATGTCTGTTTAGCCATAAAAAAGAGAATAGAAACACAAGTTAAGAAGGGCAAGAAAACGGTAAGTGAGCACCTGTGCAGCCTAGACAAGTTCAAATCACCAGGACCAGATGGATTACACCCCAAGGTTCTCAAGGAACTGGCAGATGTGATCTCAGAACCATTGAACTATATTTTTCAAAGATCCTGGAGCACTGGGGAACTACCGGAGGACTGGAAAAGAGCTGATGTAGTTCCCATCTTCAAAAAAGGAAAAAAAAATGGACCCAGGAAATTACAGACCCATCAGCCTGACCTCAATACCTGGGAAGATTCTGGAAAAGATAATCAAACAACGAATCAGCAAACACCTAGAGGCAAACAAAGTCATTACTAAAAGCCAACATGGGTTTGTCAAAAACAGATCATCCAGACAAATCTTATTGCATTCTTTGACCAAGTGACAAAATTAGTGGATCAGAGGAATGCTGTGGATATAATGTACTTGGACTTCAATAAGGCATTTGATAAAGTAGATCACAATCTACTACTTGATAAGATAGAAAAATGTGAGTTAGACAGCATCACCACCAGATGGATCTATAGCTGGCTGACCGGCCGTACTCAGCATGTGGTCCTCAATGGAACCTCATCTACATGAAGGGAAGTGTGTAGTGGGGTGCCCCAGGGCTCTGTTCTGGGCCCAGTGCTCTTCAACACCTTCATCAACGATTTGGACAAGGGGATAGATGGGGAACTCATCAAATTTGCAGACCAAGCTGGCAGGAATAGCCAACACTCCAGAAGACAGGCTTAGGATACAGGAGGATCTGGACAGACTTGAACACTGGGCACTATCTAACAAAATTCAGTGCTGAAAAAAGTAAGGTTCTACATTTAGGCAAGAAAAATCAAATGTACAGGTATAGTATAGGGGGTACCTTGCTCAATGGTAGTAACTGTGAGAGGGACCTCGGAGTCCTAGTTGACAATCACTTAAATATGAGCCAGCAGTGTGCTACAGCTGCCAAAAAGGCCAACACAATGCTAAGCTGCATTAACAGAGGGATAGAATCAAGATCACGTGAAGTATTAATACCACTTTACGATGCCTTGGTAAGGCCACACTTGGAATACTGCATCCAGTTTTGATCACCATGATGTAAAAAACATGTTGAGACTCTAGAAATAGTACAGAGAAGAGCAACAAAGATGATTAGGGGACTGGAAGCTAAACCATATAAGGAACGGCTGCTGGAATTGGGTATGTCTAGTTTAATGAAGAGAAGGACGAGGGGGACATGATAGCAGTGTTCCAATATCTCAGGGGCTGCCACAAAGAAGAGGGAGTGAAGCTATTTTCCAAAGCGCCTGAAGGCAGGACAAGAAGCAATGGATGGAAACTAATCAAGGAGAAAAGCAACCTAGAAGTAAGGAGAAACTTCCTGACAGTGGAACAACCTGCCTCCAGAAGCAGTGAATGCTCCAACACTGGAAGTTTTTAAGAAGAGACTGGACAGCCATTTGTCCGAAATGGTATAGGGTTTCCTGTCTGAGCAGGGGGTTGGACTAGATGACCTCCAAGATCCCTTCCAACTTTATTACTACTACTACTACTACTACTACTACTACTACTACTACTACTACTATTACTACTACTACTACTACTACTACTATTATTATTATTATTATTATTATTATTATTATTATTATTATTATTATTATTATTATTATTATTTTATTACTTGAAACCAACAGCAAAGAAAACCAGCACATTTCTGTCAGGAAGTAGTTCCCCATGTATGGCCCACTGCATTATATAATGGCTAGTTTTAATTAGCTTATAGTGAAATCAGTGTATCTCTGACTACTGTAATTCATGATGGATGAAACTGAGGGCCTCTGAATATAAAGTACCAACATCTTTCCACATACAAATGGAAATGAAGAATGATAGAACTTGAAATTAATAGTTATGGAAATCTATAGACTTCTCTTGACATACAGGTAATCCTCAACTTAACAACCACTTATTCAGTGACTGAAGTTAAAATGGCACTGAATAAAGGGACTTAGGATCAGTTCCCAAAGTTATGTGATCAAAACTCAGGCGCTTGGCAGCCTGTCTGCAGTTACAACCGCAGAGGTGCTTCAGTTCTCCTCACCTGCCTATGTCTCCCTCCCCACATCTATGTCCCCTGACTTTCAACTTCTTGCTTTTGCTGCTGACTAAAGATGCCAGGCCTGCTCCTACATGAGGCAGTTACTGGCCATGCAAGCTCTTTTCCCAAGGACACACATGGCAGTTTCCTTGTGAGATCAGGGGAAGATGGCCTCACGTGACAGCCAGTTGCCTCATGAAGGAGTATGGCGGGTGTGCCTCAGCAGCAGCAGGAGCACAAAAATGATGAAAATCAGCTGGAACAGCAGAGTGCAGGACAGCAGGGGCCTTAGATTGCATGGAAATAAGGGCTACTGTGGCTGGGACTAGGCTGGGGCTTCTCAGGGCTCAAGTGATTTTATGTCACATTGCTGGGCCAGGCTGGGACTGGGCTCCATATGGTGCAAAAGGCCTTCCTGGTGTGCTGGAACTCTAGGCTTTCCTCA